TCTCTGGCCTGTACCCCAGTTCTGTATGCACAAATAAATAAATCTTAAAAAAAAAAAATTTCTCCCTCCTGGCCCTCCTTGGTGGTGCAAGGGGTTAAAGCATTATGACGGTACACTGCAGTCACTGCACCATGAATTCGATCCCCAGCCAGGGAGCTGACCCACATGGCACAGCAGACCTCTCTGTCCCATCTGCTGCTCTCCTCAGCAGTGTATTTCAGTCAATCTGTCCATTCTGCTCCCCACTCTGTCTCTGGTGAATCCTCTCAGCCCCTGCACCTCTGGCCTGTCCCCCAGTTCTGTATGCATAAATAAATAAATCTTTAAAAAAAAATCTCTCCAAACAACATAATTGTATTTAAGTATCCAAAATATTACCAGTTTAACATGCAATTAATGTAAACTTCTTAGCTAAGATATTTTACAGTCTCCTCTTCCTTGTAAATTTTTGAAATCTGGTGTGTACTTTACACTTATGACCGTTTTCTTTTTCCTTTTTAGAAGATTTTATTTATTTATGCATATAGAACTGGGGTACAGGTGTGGTGAGCGGCTTTATCAGAGACAGAATGGATAGCAAAACAGGTCGATTGATGAAGTACACTCCTGAGGGGAGCAGTGGGCTGGTCAGGAGAGGTCTGCAATGCCACGTGGGTCACCTCCCTGGCCGGGGATTGAACTCACGGTGAAGCGCTGAAGTGAGCTTCACGGTGCTGTGCTTTAACCTGCTGCGCCATCAGTGAGGGCCCACTTACAGCAGTTTTCCACTTGAACTAGTCACACTTCAAGCTTATAATAGCCACACACAGCTAGTGGCCATCACATTGGATGACACAGATCTGGATTGATTTCTAGCAGCCTTGACATCTAGCAGGCTGAGACAACAGGTCAAAAAGTAGGGACTTTGCAAAAGAGGTGCCATCTGATCTTGTCCTTGAAGTGTCCTATCAAGTCTTCAGGACCTACAGCCAAGTATTCCAGCCAGAATACCATATGGAAAAACAGAGAGGACGCAAGACATGTGGGAGCAGCGCAGTTTAGTTTGAGGCTGTCTGGCCCAGTGACCACCTAGACTCAAATCCTGGCTTACTTATGCAGGCTGTGGACCCTAGGAAAGTCACCCAGCTTCTCTAAGCCTCAGGTTGCCCATCTGTCAAATGGGAGTAATAATAGTATCTAAGGTGTGAGTTGCTTTAAGTGTAAAAGGATGTGATAGATATAATTTGCTTACCAGTAACTAGCATGTTTTAAGTGTTTAATAAGTGATTGTTATCATTTGGTTGTAATACGGAAAATTTGGTCAATTTGGAAACTGAGAAGTAGATGAAATTATGAAAGTTCTTAAATGGTGGCCTGAGTGTGGACTTTATCCTAGGAGGGAAGCCAGTGAATGTTTGAACAAAGGGTAGGTATACTCTGTTATTTATTTATTTATTTATTTATTTTGTATTAGGTTACGTTGCAAGGAGGAGGCTGGGTGAGATCTGGGGAAAATGTGAGCAGAGTTGGTTTGGTGTGGGGGAGGAATGAGAAACAGCTTTCATTTGTGATATTGGCATTTCCACCTTGGCCAGCTGGGCTGGGGAATATAGGATGAGGAGAACATTTTCTAAGAGATGGTGAGCTTCAGTACATGTGGAACACCCAGGAGATTTCCAGGGGGGTATTTGGAAATAGAGCTCTGGCTTCTGGGTGGAAATTTCAGGAATTTTAGTGCTTTGGTCATATCTGAACCCATAGACCTGATAAGAAGACAGTATCAGTAATTAGGGTAACTCATGACAGTGGTCCGGGAAGAAGTCCTGGAATCATCTATCTATTTATTTTTTTATTTTGCAATAATTTATTGATTTAAAAAATAATATAATAGTTTATTTATACATCATTTTGTGCCTTTTTCCATTTCAGTTGTAATCCCCATGGGCTTCCCATCACCAAATCACTCATATGCCATCACCATAGTCCAGTGCACTTCCCTCCCCCAACCATTTTTGATTCCATTCCCCATCCTACCCTCATAAAATGTCTCTGGTATGTAGTTGCTCTTTATTATTATTTTGTTGCCTGGTCCTTTATACTCCTGCTATGAGTGAAACCATCCAGTATTTTTCCTTTTCTTTCTGGCTTATTTTACTAAGCATAATCTTTTCTAGCTCCATCCATGGTGCTGGAAAAGGCATGTGTTTGTTTTTCTTTTGATTGCTGAGTAATGTTCCATTGTGTATATGTACCACATCTGTTTAATCCAGTCATCCACTTTTGGGCATTTGGAGTGGTTTCCATGTCTTTCCAATTATAAATAAAGCAGCAATAAACATGGGGGTGCAGGTGTCTTTTTGAATCAGTGTTTTTGAGTCTTTTGGGTAGATACCTAGGAGTGAGACTGCTAGGTCATATGGAAGCTCCATTTTTAGCAGTTTGACAAACCTCCAAACAGTTTTCCATAGTGGTTGTACTAGTTTGCATTCCCACCAGCAGTGCAGGAGAGTTCTTTTTTCTCCACATCCTCGCCAAACATTTGTTGTTGCTAGTTGTTTTAAGACTATATTTTTTAAAGATTTATTTACTTATACAAGAACTGGGAAACAGGCCAGAAATGGAGTTGAGAGGATTCACCAGAGACAGAGTGGGGAACAGAACAGGCAGATCTACTGAAATACACTGCTGAAGGCAGCAGCAGGCAAGATAGGAGAGGTCTGCTGAGCCATTGGACTAGCTCCCTGGCCTATGGATCAGCTCCCTGGCTGGGGATTGAACTTGTCCTGCAGCAACTGGTAATAGCTTAATATTGATAAGACTTAACCCCTTGCACCACCAGGGAGTACCAGGGATCATCTGTATTCACGAAGGAGATAAAGAAAGAAGAATGTGGAAAGAACTGCAGAGGGAGAGGCTATGGGAAGTAAGAGAGAAAACCAGGAGAGAAAGAAAGATGTAAGGTAGGCCAAAGAGGAAGGAATTTCCAGAAGCACAGATGGTTGAGTCAACATCATGGTCCTCCCTTGTGGTGCAATGGGTTAAAGCACAGCACTGAAAGCTGGCCACCGCCACTTCAGTGCAAGTATGATCTCCAGCCCCTTCAGTGAACCACATGGCCAGCAGACCTCTCCTGACAGGCTCCCTGCTCCCCTCAGCAGTGTGCTTCATCAGTTTGCCTGTTCAGCTCCCCACTCTGTCTCTGGTGAATCTGCTCACTGCCCCTAACCTTTGGCCTGTACCCAATTCTGTATGTGTAAAAAAAAAAAAAAGAGTCAACATCAGCAGAATCAAGGAAGACAAAGTCTGAAGGGACTTAAAGGAAATCAGGATGTTGGACCCCTCTGAGTTTTTGGTGTTGCTTCTTGGGAAACAGAAGTCAGAATGAGAGGGAGAGCAAGGGAAGGAATAAAGGAACCAGTCAATATGTTCTTTGCTGGAGCTTGACTGCCACAGAATGAGGTGCCAGGAGTCCACAACTAGACAGGAAGGCTGGGCACAGGAGCCAGGGCTGAAGGGGAGGGTTTATAGAAAGCACTTAGCTTCAGGCTTCTCATATCCCTGTGAGGAGATCCAGCACTTGTGGATGGGCAAGAGCAAGAAGTCCAGGAAGGACATCTAAGGGCAATGGAAATGTTGCTGAGGGGGAGAGGTAGAGCCCCACTACCCAGCTTCCAGCAGTGATGTATGTGTTTGTATGTTTATGTGTGGTGATGTGTGGAGTTTGGAATCTCTTGAAGAAACTTGCTTCAGCTTAGGCTGAAGTGTAGCTGCTCTGAGGGGTTGACCTCTTACCAGCTATGCCTCCTGGGACCCCTGCCTCTACCCTTAAATTTGAATTGGGTTGGGGTCCTGCCACTTGGCTGTGTATCTGTTAGCACCCCTGACTTTGCCACCCTAACCCAGCTCCTTTTTCACTCCCCTCTCCCAGCTCTCACTGGTCAGGTCTGAGGACCCTTAGTAAGCAAGAGAGGGGAGGGAAATCTCTGGAAGAAGAAGGCATGGCAGAAGGAGCTCTAAAGACAGTGTGGGGATGGCCCTGGCTTGGGGATGAGAAGCCAAACAGCTTTGAGTCCTCCTGTGAGGCTGGGGCTGTGGGCAGGCAGTCTCCTCAGAGACCCTCCTTTGCAGGTATTTGGCCTTGGCGCTGTGGCCCATAACATTGTAGGAGCTGGTTTTGGAAGCTACCTCGGCGTCAATCTGGGTTTTGGTTTTGGAGTCACCATGGGCGTGCACCTGGCAGGGAGTATCTCTGGTGAGTGAGTCTGGCTCTGACCACAGGTGTTATGATTGGGGTGGGGCTGGGTGACTGCTTCCTGCCTGCCCACCCCCAACCAGCTCCTTATCCCAGTCAGCCAGAGCCTCACCTTGGCCACCTTGAGGCGGAACACACTGAAGCCCTTTCCTTTGACCATCCCTATGCAGATTCTTCATGAAGACTCCATTGCCCACTTTTTTACTAGCTGGCTCAATTTAAGCACATTATTCAACTTCTCTGTGCCCCATTTTCCTTGATAGTGACGTGGAGGTGGCTGTCCTTGCCTCTCGGGGTCCTTTTGAGGATGAAATAATTGAGTGCACTCCACAAATACTAGCTTTCATTATTGTTGTGACTCTCAGTATGATTTATTATTGTTGTTTCTGCTCTCTCTCTCCCTGGACACCCTTGACTTGCCCCACAGGGGCCCACATGAATGCAGCTGTAACTTTCACCACCTGTGCCCTGGGCCGCATGTCCTGGAAGAAGTTTCCCGTGTACGTGCTGGGTCAGTGCCTAGGGTCCTTTATGGCTGCAGCCACCATCTTCTGCCTCTTCTACAGTGAGTGTCCTGCCCTGCCTTATCTGTCTTTGGTCTTGCCTGCCTCTTCTGAGATACGGGCAGACCTGATGTCAGTGTCCTGGCCTGTGACAATGTCTAGAAGAGAAACATTTTGGAGGTGCTTCCTGCTCCTCCATCTAATAGCTTTATTTCTGGGTTCCATGTCTCCACAGTCCCCATTATGGAGCATTGCGGTGGAGAGCTGTTGGTGACGGGTCCCCTCGCTACTGCTGATATTTTTGCCACCTATCTTCCTGACAACATGACATTATGGAGGGGCTTCCTGGATGAGGTCAGTGATCCAGAGTGGTTGCTCTTCTCAAGTCCTCCCACTTTGAGAAGGGGCCAGAAGGCAGCTCCTTGCAATACAGAGGACATGAACTCTGTACCAAGACAGGTCACTGCCTGTGGGTTTGGGCTGGGGTGTAGCTGAGGCCCTATGGCTTTGCTCCGGTGACAGCCATTGTGTTTGCTCCCCAGCTAGTGGTGACGGGAATGCTTGAACTATGTCTCCTGGCCATCACAGACAAGAGGAATAATCCAGCAGGTCAAGGGACTGAGGCCTTGGTGATTGGCGTCCTCGTGATCGTCATTGGAGTATCCCTGGGCATGAACTCAGGTTATGCCATCAACCCATCCCGGGATCTACCTCCCCGCTTCTTCACCTTCATTGCTGGCTGGGGAGTAGATGTCTTCAGGTAATTTTCCCCCCAGTCTATTCTTGCAAATGTTTTGGGGGTTCTGTGTATACAATAGGGTGGGTGTGATGAAGAGTGAAGAACAGCACAGAAAGTCCTGCAGAGCTTCCAGGGGTCTGGAGAGTCAGCAGATCAGATGGGCCCCCAGACCAGGTCCTGATGTAGATCCTGCTCCTGGACTGAATGTCAGTCCTCGACTGGCCGGGGTACTTGAGTCAGGCTGAGGCTCCCCAGACCCCCTGGCTCTGGGCTCACTCCTGGCCTAGGTTGGGAGCCCCTCCTCTACTCTTGGTCTGAGGTGGATATGGTTGGGATGATTTCCAGGCATTGGTCCCCTCAGCAGAACTTGTTTCTTCTCTGCAGAACTCAGAACTGGTGGTGGGTCCCAGTGATAGCACCAATCATCGGTGCCTACTTAGGAGGCCTGATCTACATAATCTTCATCAGCTCCTGTATCCCTCGGGAGTCCCATGCAGACACCGCCAAGGAGATTGAAGAGCATAGGACACCCATGTTGCCCAAGACCACAGCTCAATCAGCTATGACCTCTTCCCTCACTCCTGTCTCTGTGTACCCTGATGACAGACCAATCACCCTGGCTTCAACATCTGTAAATGACCCCATCCACCTAGAGCCCTTCTAAGTAATATTGTTTGTCATCCCATCCCCTCAATAAAGAAATGTGTCCCATTACGGCACCCATGCTTTCTGGGTGCCTCTGTGGTGGGGTTCCCTCCTGAGTTCTTGTGGGAACTCTAGGTTTATGCTGTCTATCCTAAAACTAGAAGATAGAGCTGAGAGGTGTCCAACTCTTCTCAGCTCTGGGAGGTAGGGTACCCCTGGGAGAAAATGGGGAAGAGCAGACCTGTGGTCTCAGGAGGAATCAGATGAAATTAAAGTATTCCCGACACAAAATGGAGGACTTGCTGACAAAGGGTAGGGAAGGAATGGTTTGGGGAAAGGAGAGCAACTGGCAGATGGGGGTCAGCTCTGGGGATGCCCTGGGCTGCCCTGGCACAGTGGGAGTCTCCCTGAAGAGAGTCAAGGCTCAAATGTGGAGATTAGAGTTTTCTCAGCCATTTTTCTCTTTAAAAATATTTATTTATTTATGCATACAGAACTGGGGTACAGGCCAGAGGTGCAGGGGCAGTGAGAGGATTCACCAGAGATAGAGTGGGAGCAGAACAGGCAGATTGACGAAGTACACTGCTGAGGGAAGCAGTGGGCGGGTCAGGAGAGGTCTGCTGTGCCATGTGGGTCACCTCCGGGGCAGACGGGGGTCGAACTCATGGGGAAGCGGCTTTTGATTCTTAGTGCTGCGCTTTAACCCTCTGTGCCTCCTGGGAGGCACATCTTCCCCCTTTTTTTTTTTTAAGATTTATTTATTTATGGATACAGAGCTGGGGTACAGGCCAGAGGTGCAGGGGCAGTGAGAGGATTCACCAGAGACAGAGTGGGGAGCAGACCAGGCAGATCTACTGAAATACACTGCTGATGGGAACAGTGGGGAGATAGGAGAGGTCTGCCACACTATGTGGGTCAGCAACCTGGCTGGGGATCGAATTCATGGTGAAGCAGCCGTGGCAAGCTTTGTAGTTCTGCACTTTAACCTGTTGTGCCACCAGGGAGGGCCGTCTCAACCAACCATTTTTCATTCTTGCCCCCCTCAAGAGACTTTTTTTAGACAATTTTTTTCTTAATCACATGATATTAGAATACCACAGACATATATATCTGCTGTACTGCTATCCATATACTTTTTATATATACACTTTATACAAAAAGAGAGTCAGATTTTTTTTCATTTCCCCACCCCTTCCTTCCAAGAATCAATTTTATCACCTTTGGGTCCAAAATTGCCACTCACTTTGAAAACCCTTGATGCAGACTGACAGGTGGGAAAAAATTGGCCTCCTCTTCCTTCTTCCTAGTGCCAGAGCTCTCACACACAGAGGAGTTCCTGAATTAGGACAGGAGATGGGAAATCCTTACAAAAGGTGCAGAGACAAGAGAGGGCCTCATGGGGCTTAGGAGGCCGAACAAGAGATTTGGGGGGCAGTGGTGCAGCCAGGACCAGCCTGGCAGCAGCCCTATGTTTCCATCATTGCTTGTACATTTAGCCATCAACATTATTGAGCACCTTGTGTGTGCCAACATGGCCTGACACAATGGATGCTGTGGGGCTGGGCCTCTGCCCTCAAGAAGCCCAGAATAATGGGGACAGGTAATCATGAAGAAGGAGCTAAGCAGTAGAGAGGGGGCTGCATGGAGTTTGGGGGGCCTTGGGGAGGGGTTATGGGCCAAGGCCAGGGATGGCTTCCCAGAGAGAATAGAACAGAGTTGGGAGGAGTAACCCTCTATTGGTTGCCACCCCATACAGCCTGAGTGGGGAGGGGGACAGAAGGCTGGGTTTTCTTCTAGAGGTGGGGACATGGTAGGTGAGATTTGGGAAGCCCACCTGAACCTCAGTGTTCAAGATGCTGGAGTAGCGGGAGATCGGGGATGGCAGCGAATGTGGCGAGTAACCCCGGAAGAGAGGCAGGCACCCACACATTAGCGCTGTGGACTGGGAAGAGGAGAGGGCTCACTGAACAGCAAGGAGGTGAGACTGGCAGGCCTCGGCTTGGATAGATAAAGGAGTAGGTGAGGAAGCAGAGGAAGTCAGAGCTGACTTTCCAGGGTGGACATGAGTGAGGAACAGGTTTGGAGAAAAAGATAACTCATGTCAGGAGCACATGGAGTTTGAGTTGTGTACACGACTTGGGGGATGAGAGGTGTGTGGTCTTGCCTGGTTTTCTCATTTGCAAAATGGGGATAATAAAATTCCCTTCCATTTGCACTGCTGTGAATAGTCAATGAAATAAAACATGCACTTCTGAGTGTAGTACTTGGCACAGAGTGGCGCTCAATAAACAGCTGTGCTTCTCTGTGATTTGGAACTCAGAAGGCAGCTGGAGAGAGAGAACGAGGAAGGCAGGGTCATGCAATGTCTCATTATGACAGGGCAGTGGGATAAAAAAGGATTTCTCAGAGTCCATGTGCAGAACAATGAGAAGCCTAGAGAAAGCAATAACTTATGTCAGGGGCATGTTGAGTCTGAGTTGTGTACACGACTTGGGGGATGAGAGGTGTGTGGTCTTGCCTGGTTTTCTCATTTGTGAAATGGGGATAATTAAAATTCCCTTCCACAAAGGTGCAGTCCAGCTCCAGCGGCAGTTTTGTTTTTATTTAAAGTTGAACAAAAAAATAAAAGAGATCAAAGAAGCAAGCAGGCACAGGAGGAATGTGCAAGTGTGGAGGGGATGGGTAGCCAGCTGGTCCCAGGCAAGGATGGGAAATAGGGAGAGATTCAAGGGACGTCTCGGGGTTTATGTTCCTCTAACCATAACACCTATTGCTGTTTTGCACATACTTTCTTTCAGCATGGATAGATGCTCACATCAGGACTTTTGCCCTGAGAGATTCCTTATCAATTGTACCTGCTTATGCACACTGAGAGACACAAAAGAATCAAAGCAAAAACAATCAAGGCAAAGACACAAAATAATTGAGACATGTGATAATGCAAGCTTGGCAGTGTGGATAGAGCTGGGACTGTGCAAGAGTGAAAGGGGGTCATGAGCAGAGTGTTGGGAGCACAGCCAGGTGTGGAGAGGGCCTCTCAGAGGTGTGGCTGAGGAAAGTGAGAGATACGTGACGAGGTAGCACTGGGAACCAACTAGACGCCCATTGACGGTGTAAGATACTCACACTGCAGTATGTACAAGAGAACATGATACCACAGTGGAACTAAGGCACAAGAGTTACTTGCAACAACATGGAAAATGGAGGCATAAGAAGCAATGCAGAAGGCCCTCCCTGGTAGTGTGATGGGTTTAAAGCACAGCACTACGAAGCTATCTGCAACTTCAAAATACTCCCCATTCACAAAATGGGGAATTTTATTATCCCCATTTGGTAAATGAGGAACCAGGCAAGACCACATAGCTGTCATCCCTTAAGTTGCATACACAACTCAGACTCCACATGCTCCTGACATGAGCTATCTTTTTCTCCACCCATTTCCTCACTCATGTCCACCCTGGAAGTCAGCCCTGATTTCCTCTGCTTCCTGGCAAGGGAGGTGACCCACATGGCACAGCAGGCTTCTCCTGTCTTGCCTACTGCTCCCTTCAGCAGTGTATTTCAGTAGATCTGCCAGTTCTGCTCCTCATTCTGTTTCTGGTGAATTCTCTCACCCACCCCTGCACCTCTAGCCTGTACCCCAGTTTTGCATGCATAAATAAATTAAAAAAAAAAAAAGAAGAATCAATGCAGTAGACCATACATGGCATGACAGTTATCTAGCAGTGGCTGCAGATAGCTTCAAACAATATATTCTTTGGGGAACTATTTATGTCACAAAACAATTTAAAAAGAAAAGAACTAGAAGAAAACAACTGAAGGGGATGAGGGAGCAAAGGGGGGCAAGGTGGGGACAGGCTGTGACAACAACCTGTGTAAAGTCCCTAAGGTGGGAGCAGAGAGTAGCCATTGCTGGAATGGAAAGAGGGAGGGAAGAGTGGAAGAAGTAAAGGAGGTGGGGGAGAGTGAACTGAGGTTAAGGCCTGTGGGGCAGAGGTGAGAGAGGTCTTGGGAAGAGAGAGCAGGTCCTGCTGCAGGAAGCAGACAGGATAGGGTGGAGTGGGAGTCACACCCTGTGAGCCCCTGCCCTTGGCATTGTACACACACACACACACACACACACACACTCTCTCTCTCTGTCTCTCACACACACTCTGGCCCCAGACCACGCCCCTTCAGTGCTTTCCTGAGAAAGATTTGATCTCCAGATGGCAGTGCTGGTTTTGGGACAAGTCACTTCCTTCCTGTTTGGCCTCCTCTCCCACTTCCACTAAAGGCCTCTGAGTGATAGGCACCCACAAGTAGCACCTTGTCTGGCTAATCTCCCTGTATCCTCCTCAGATGGGGGCCTGTAGCCCAGAGAAGTTCAGACCTGGGTGCTGATGCCCGTACTGAGAAGAGGTGTGACTACTCAGAGTTGGGCAACCAACCTCAGCCCCAGCCCCATCTCTAGGCTGCACCTGGAGTGGGAACAGACCTTCCTGAGGCCTGAAGGGCCCTCGCTGGGGCCATAAGAGCACACACAGCAAACTCAGACCACTGGCTCCAGATACTGTCTGCTACCCACAGCTGCATGACCTTAGGTAAGCCAGGGTAATAACAGCTCTCAGGGCAACTGAGAAGAGGAAATGAGTTAAACCCGGCATGTGGGGTGTGTTCACTGTTGTTGCTCTATATCCTCTTGTGGTCTCATGTCATCATGTCCATCTTACACTCAAGAAAGTAATATCTGGAGAAATTGGCTCAGTAAATGTTAAGAATAGAAATTCCAGCTGATATGAACTTGACACATTTTTGTTATTTATTTCTTTTTAAGAGTTATTTATCTATGCATACAGAACTGGGGTACAGGCCAGAGGTACACGGGGTAAGAGGATTCACCAGAGACAGTGGGAGCAGAACAGGCAGATCAACAAAGTACACTGCTGAGGGGAACAGTGGGTGGGTCATGTGGGTCACCTCCCTGGCTGGGAATCGAACTCGTGCTGAAGCTGCTGCAGTGAGATTTATGGTGCTGCACTTTAACCTGTTGTACCACCAGGGGCGGGGGGCCTGTTATTTATTTAT